GATTATATGGGTTTGTTATTCACTGAGATTAGTATACATGAGTTAACTTCAGACATGAGTCTTAGATTTATTCACCGGAGCATGAGGGTGAATGGTATATATGTGATTTCTGACACTATTTGCATATTACAGTCCTCGTGTTGGACTATAAGCTATCAAGTCCTCGTGTTGGACTATTAACTATTAAAGTCCTCGTGTTGGACTATAAGCTATCAAAGTCCTCGTGTTGAACTATAATCATCAAAGTCCTCGTGTTGGACTATAATCCACTATAGTTCTCATGTTGGACTTTAAGCTATTGCAGATTATACTTTGGACATTTATTTATTGCAGACCACGAGTTGGGTATGTAATTGACATATGACAGGTCATTGATATTTTGGTTGGAGATAGAGTTATTACTCCATGATGTAGCTTTTGAATTTGGTATTTAGCTATTTACAATTTGAGGTAAGGGAGGCGTACCTATGCTCGTGTTGTAAATTTCTAAACATCAAATCTCTATTTTATTTTTTACAGTCGATGTCTGGCTATCTATATGTATGTTTGTTGGAAAAATTGCAAAGAAGAGAATAAAGAAAATTGACTTGGATTCCTTTGATCTCGATTACAACTTGATTACAAAAGAGGAGAGAACGAATTTGATTCTCTCCTTTGTTTAAAACTGGGTTCTTCTCGGTAGCGATGGAATGCCTCCTTCGATTGCTCGCGTCGAAATTGCTCTCCGTTGACGATCTGACCGTCTTCTATCTCGTGGGAACGATGAACTTCTGTGGAAAGTTTGATGTTTAACTCTGAATGAGTTTAAGAACTCTGAACGAGTTAGAACTCTGTGAATAGAGTTGTTAGAACCGAAAATTCGGTTAATGATCAAGCTGTTATTCTGTTGTTGAAGAATCCTCTCAGATTTGATCTTCTGAGTTTGATTCAAAAATCCTATCTCCAAGGATCTCGCTGCTGCTGAAACTCCAAACCTGAGTGGTTTTTGATCTTCCGAATCCGACCTTTGCAACCCTTGCTCTGTTGGGTTCGTTGAGCTTTTATAGGGGGAGTAAGAGGTTGTAACTGACCCCTATATCCGCTCCTACGTAGGCGAACATCCCTCAGAACGTGGGATAAACGGTTTTGGAACCGTTCGACTCATGTTTGAACGAGTCAAACATGAGTCTTAGGATTGAGACGCGAGGTTGGGTGTTAGCTGAACACCATTGAACGCGAGGGTCACTCGCATTTAGCTTGTTGCCTGCTTGGAAACGCGGGGGTCAGTGTTGGTTGAACCCCTATGAACGCGAGGGTCGCTCATGTTTGGCTTGTGCAGCTTTTTGACTTGTAGCTTCTTCTGTGAAGCGTTGCGAGGACCGTTGTTCAGTAATCCTGGCTTTAGCTGTTGTAGGGTATGAAAGTCGTCAGATTGTAACTTTCACCGTAGAATGTGAATACTGCTGAATAGAGTTTTCATCAGTTGTCGGAAGTGTCGTTGAATTGTAACTCTTCTCGATCTATGTGAAAAGTCCTCTATCTGCCGCTTTCGATTGTCGATCCGAAAGCTATTTGATTGTAGCTTTCGTTGTGAGAGCTTGACGGGAATCAACATCCATAGTGTCTTGAAGACGAATATTTGTCCACAGCTCTCTACCAAGCAACTTACCACCTAAGTCCAACCTTTTCTTTCTAAAATCATTACACTGCTCATCAGCATCTCCAATAGTTGCTAATAATACTATTCATGCTGTTGTCGCAGCCATCAAGATCAATCATCTCAGAAGTGAGGTCGTGTTTGTGGCGATTGTGGAGTTGCGGATGCAGTGATTGGGAAGTCGTCTGATTGTGACCTCCATTGTCGGAGCTTATTTGGATCAGCTATCTATTGTGATTTTTAGACAGCCTACAGAACCCCCTCCAAAGTTTTCAAAAGTTCGCGGTTGACTGGGACGAATTTTCGGAATACTTTGGATCAAAGATTTAGTGGATTGATTGCTCCCTCCGTCTGATCGGGCCAGATGGTTTCGCCGTTGTTGATTGTGATCTATCTGTACTCCTCCAATAGACTCCCCAGTGGAGTCATTTGTTTCTTCCTGGCTTTGGTCGCCTTGGTAACCAAGAAATTGTTGTTCATGGTGGTCTCAACACAGAGATGCCTTCTGCATTTGAGAATTGGAACGCGTGGGTGAGCCCAGCGTTGGGAAAATTTGAACGCGCAGGTGAGCATCGCGTTTGGAAGCTGAATCAACTCGAACGCGAGGGTCGAGCTTGGGCGGGCTGATGGCCTCGAATCCCGTCCGTTAGGATTTGACAGCTCATAGCTGTCTATAAATAGACCGCTAGGGGTCAAATCAAGAGTCTTTCGACTCTTCTTGAAACCTTAATGAAAAATTTTTGTTCTTATCTCCGGCGAAAACTATTCTTCTTCTCCGACGAGATTCAATGGCACCCAAGAAGTCCGCCGCCCCTAAATCCGATGCCGCTGCGGCTCGGGGATCTGCACCGTCAGCGCCGGCCGGCGGCGCCGCTGCTCAGGCGAATGTGACGCCCCAACTCCCCTTGATCGGTGGTGAGTACGACCTTCGTGGTCATTAAACTTGCTCCGGCAAGTTCTGATCTTGAAATTAACGAGGAAACTCGTTCCCATAACGCGGACGCGGGGGTCGACCTGCGCGTCTGAGATTTTTGACGCGAGGGTCAACCTACGCGTCTGAATTTTCTGACGCGGGGTTGGACCTTCGCGTCTGAGCTTGTCTGGTGCGGGGGTCGACCTACGCGTCTGAGCTTTTTTAATGCGGGGGTTCGACCTTCGCGTCTGAACTTGTTTGACGCGAAGCTCGACCTTCACGTCTGAGCTTGTTTGACGTGAAGCTCAACCTTCGCGTATGAGCTTCGATTTCGAGTTGTCTAACTCTTTTCCTCTTTTTGCAGTGCGTCATACCAGTGAACCTCTTCTTTTTCGCCACCATTTTGGGCATGTAGGTGGTACGGACATGAACATGGCCTTCAGCTCGCGTCAAGAACTCCCAGTTTTCCGAATTAGGGGGAAGAGTCGCGTAGAACTAATTACCCAAGCTTCTTCCGACACTCTTAGGACATTGGTTACGGACGCCCGACTTGAAAGCCCAAGCCGTAAGCCAATAGTCAAACCTGGATATCTTTTCGGGGACTTTGTTGACTTCGACGCAAGCACTGCTTATGATGGGGACTATAAGTGGTTGCGGAAAGTTGGGGACCGCAACCTTTTCTTGCCCAATATGGAGAGGATGTTCCCCATATCTTATTTCCAGTGTGCTTCTGTCCCAAGGCATATGGATTGGCCCCTGGTTAAGGATCAAGATGGGGTTGCTCTCGGGACTTTGACTTTTCACGGGGTCCGCACAGTTGGTTATAACCGGCAGGTGACAGCTTTGCGACCGAGTTTATTTGCTAAGGAGTATCCTCTTGGCGAAGCACCCAGCCCGGCGAAGACCTTTGTTAAGAGATTTTTGGAAAAGAAAGGAGAATTCCCCGCACAAGGATTTAGAGCTCCTGGTTGGGTTCATTCTCCAGTGACAGGGTGGTGGGCCCAGATGACCAAGTTCGTTTTGGGTGAATTGGAAACCCCTCTTACCCAAGCTGGATTACTGGTTCCTGTGCAGGCTACTAAGTTTGGGATTATTCAGAGCCACTTTCACTTCTTCTCTATATTGGAGAAGTATAGTCCCGAGACTTGCACTTTCTTCACCCCTGTGGGGGAGCTAGGCTTCGCTCTTCACGAGATGCACGAAGTCTCAGGTCTTATTCTCGGGGATTTACCATACGAAGAATTTGTTCCGGGATCTGCGGAACTCCAACTTTTGAAGAAGACCAGCCCAGAAATTTACGCCACTCTCTGGAAAGTGATGTGTCACTTTCATATCTGCATGCAGCTGACGGGGGCCCGTGGAGGTGGTATTAAGCAAGTGTCTTGGGCGGAATATTTATTCCGGAACTTGACCATTAAAGGAGGCTCTGTGACCCGATTGCCTGTCAGTACTTTGGAAGAGGTTCAGGCTCGTATTGACGACGCTACCTCCCATTACACTAACGAGGCCAAGGAAGATGTTTTCCCGGCTCACACAGAGTTTGAGAGCTTTCATTATCAAGCTCTGATTCCAATTTCCGACGCGGCGTTGCTGGCTGGATTCTTGATGCTGTGGCTCAAGCGTTGCGTCGTTCCTACCAGGCCGGTCGATGCCCTTGCTATTGAGGTGGTCTACCCGGCTGTTCTCTTGGCACATGGGAGACCTGTGAGCCTCCTCAGCGCCATGGTGGGTTGCTTACAGTATGGACTGCGGGAGTTGGCCTCTGACTTTGTTGGTGTTACAGAGGTGGAGTCTGAGGGTCACAAGACTTTCAAAACTCCCAATCCCAGGGTACCAATGCCATATGCCTATTTGATGGCTTGGTACGTGCTTCACTGTCCTCCTTTGATGAGTGCAGCCTCTCCCCGGGGAGATTCATTCATCCCATTTCTGCAGCGACTGGAGTCTGCGAAGTGGAAAGGGGGGTACATGGTTAAAATTCGCCAAATCTTAGCGCGAGACACCCATTTCTACATCTACTGCTGTTTCCCTGATTTTGAGGGCGGCGTCTATAGCGCAGAGTATCAGGACGTAGCGGGTTCTAATGGATTCACTCATCTGAGTGGGGGTGTTTTCCATTGGCTTCTTTCTATTAGGCCCGGCTACCTGATCTTCCGACAAGGCGCCAAATGCTTCATCGAGACTTATCAACCCTATAGGTTTGCTCGCCAATTTGGGTATGATCAGTTGTATGTCGGGAACCCTCGTCCTCAACTTTCGGTCATAGGCAATTTGTGTGAAGGAGCCAGGGCTTGGTATTATTCTGTAGCAGGCTGTACCAAAGCCGTCTTCAAGCTTCCTCACAAAACTGCTAACTCCTATACCTCCATCAGCTTCTGTAATTGGTATTACGCCGCTTCTCAGACTCCCAACTACAACTTGAATACATCTTGCCTGAAAGACATTAGGCATATGTATAATTTAAGGAAGGGGTCCAAGACATCCCGTTTGAAAGGGATCGAAGAATTTCTGTCCATTGAGAATCAATCTATTGGACAGGAAGAAGAACTGACAGCTGAGCCTGTTCCAGAGGGAGAGCAACGAGTGGTTGATCCTCCCATGACAAGAGCGGTGGGGAAAAGAAAATTTTCTGCAGATGAGGCCGGCAAATATGATAAGCAAATTCGTCGGAAACTTCTGGTTGATTCTCCTCCCAAAGGCCAACAAAAATCCAAGTTGATGGCTGAGGCCATCAAAGCTGCTAGAGATGACGAACCACAGGAATCATCTGTGGCTGGCCTGCCGCATAGAGCGGGACTTCGCTCTCATGGTCCAGCTCTGTCGGGTGAAGGTTCTTCTTATCATCCTCCTGAGGACGAAGAAGATGAATTAATGGTTGCAGATGCAGAATCTGCTCCGGTGATGGATCTTCCTAGGTCTCCTGCGTTGGAGCCAGGGGGTCTCGAAGATAATCCACCTCCTTCTCCTTCAGCATTAATGTCACAAGCTGATGATTTAATGCCTAGTCCTACAACGGGACGTATGAAAAGACCAGCCGCTGGTGCAAGTCTTCCGGAGTCTTCAGCTGTTCAGGATGATGAGGAGCGAGTTGATTATGACGACTCCCCAGCTGGTGATGCAGCTGACGGAAATAGAGGCAATGAGGACGCTGATGTTGGCAACATGTCAGGTGACGGTGAAGATGAGGATGAGCATGATTCCATCGATGACGTCACCACTTTTGATGATGATGCTCCCAAGGTCCCATCCGATAAAGTATCAGGTTATACTCCTTTTTACATCTCCGGTAAGTCTAGTTTCCTTCGCCTTCTTCCACATGCTTTTTCTGCGTTCCGACCATTTTTTCGTGCAGGTTCACCCACTCCCGGAACTACTTCAGCTGCTCCTTTAGAGCAAGAACCTGCGCAAGTGTTGGCTCCACCACAAGAGCCACATTTATCTGGCTCTCCCATGGCGACTGTTTCACCTGTAGCGTTACCTGAAACTACTGCTACAACTTCTCCTCTGGAACAGGCGGTCGTGCAGGTGTCGACTCCTTTGCAGGGGCAAACCTTACAAGACTCTTCCGTAGTAGCTACTTCACCGAAAGCGGTGATGAAGATCTCGCTCACCCCAACGGAGGCTGGGCCAAGCTCATCTCAGGTGAAGGCATTGATGGCTTTGACCTCAAGTACTTCGCAATTGAACATTTCAATTGCCTCTGCGGCTTCGGCACCTGGATCGCCTGCTAGTCATCATCTTAACGCATCAATCTCAGCTGCTGAAGGGGTATCTTCGGGTGCAATTGTCAGTCTCGCTAATGCACCTAAATTCCTTCAAATCTCTTTGGTGTATCTAAACAGTCTTGCGAAGACGGTGGTTGAGTCCTTGATGAATGGTCAAGGAACTTTGAATTCCTTTCGACCTCTTCTGGAAGCAGGCTTAAATGGAGTCAGGAGCGTGGGCGAAACTCAATGGTTCGAACGCTGCTCAGAGATTATCCTTCGTTTGGAGGAGAAATTACAATGCCTCAAAACCATGGGCCATAGTGACCTTCAGCCACAAATTATGTCCACTTTGGCTAGTCTTCAGGTCGCTGAAGTGATACACCGGGAAACCCTAGAACAAAACTTAGCTGAAAAAGAGCGTCAGATCGCAGAGCTTCGTGAGCGTAACATTCGGAAGCGAGAAGAACTAGAACGCTCAACTGCTTCCATGAATTTGCTTCGGGACAAACTGGTTGAAGCTGAAGCCGAAGTCCTGCGATTGAAAGCTGAACTCTCCCGCGAAGAAGACGTTGTCAACATCCTTAGTACCCAGAATACAACTGGTACTTTAGAGTATCATACACAAGCTCAAGCCCTGGAAGACGCCAGGAAGGAAGTGGCGGCCATCATCATACCAAGTGAGGATGAACTCCGAGCAAAGGCTGAAGCTATGGTGCGAGCTAACCACGAGGCGGAGCTAGCTGAACTCAAGGCTCAACTCATCTCTTTTGATTTAATGCATGAGTGAGTGAGTTTGGCTTCTGTAATGTTCTTTTGACAAGAACAAAGTTTTTTTTTGTATCACTTTCTTTTAGTTCTTAAATAAAAAGTGATATTGGTCTCTCATTATTTCTTGCATTCATCATGTTTTGATTTTAAATACAACTCATGAGAAATACCTGAGATGTATTCCTGACTTAGAATAGATCTCCACAATGGTTCTGATGCAGAGAACAAACTGTTGAGGACGAATATTCCCATAAGGGGGTTGACTAATAGAATTCTTCATGTGCTATTTCTGTTTTGATCACTGAAAGAAATCTGGGTGTGCCAGAGGTATAGTTTTAACTTGGCAGGGGGATCATTGCGATCTGGGCAATTTTGAGGACTTATCGTTCTATTGACGAGAATCGATAAGTTGATTTTTGTCAGAGGTGTGATTTTAACGTGACAGGAGAAATATTGCGATCAGGGCAATTTTGAGGACTTATCGTTCTATTGACGAGAATCGATAAGTTGATTTTGTCAGAGGTGTAATTTTAACGTGACAGGAGAAATATTGCGATCAGGGCAATTTTGAGGACTTATCGTTCTATTGACGAGAATCGATAAGTTGATTTTGTCAGAGGTGTAATTTTAACGTGACATTTGTGGGGAAAGAATATTATAGCGTCTCACAGGGGAGAACTGCTATATGTTTTATCATCGGAGTGATGAGTTATTATTATAGCGTCTCACTGGGGAGAACTGCTAAGTGTTTTACCATCGGAGCGATGAATTGTGATACTTGTGATTTGAACAAGGTTTTGGGGAATTTTGTTAACCCGCTGAAAACAGGTTATTTATTGCTCTGTTGAGGAGAGTTAATAAATTGACAATGAGTTGGAGACTTATCATTCTATTAATGAGAATTGATAAGTGGATTCTGGGGTGTAGTATTAACCCAACGAGAATTTAGATTCTGCTGAAGAGATATAGAGGTTTTGACTAACACTCCGTTAAGAGGGCTCACAAGTGCAAGTTCTATATTTAGAAGAGTTGCAACGCTGAAGTGACCTTCGCGTTTGATGTTTGAAACGCGAGGTTCGGGCTTTCGTGACGCTGGCTCAAGCTTTGCACTTGGGAGATTGAACGCGATAGTGAGCTTCACGTTTTGGAGATGGTTGGGATTCACTCCTAGAATCCCGTGCCATCTTAACAGCTTGGCGGCTGTTATAAATAGACCTGAATGGTCAAATCAAAAGTCACTTGACTTTCAAAACTCTCGGCTATTTCCAAGAACGAGAACTCTCGTTTGGTTACGGCGAGATCTCTGACGAGCTTCGTCTCCCTCGTTCAAAGGAGTTTCCTCTGATCGACTACATCAATGGCGCCTCGGAGGATGGGTTCAAACTCCAAGAAAGTCGCTGAAGCGACTTCCGACACGCCGTCGGCTGAGAACGCCAGCGGTGCTCTTGTCCATGCGAGAACCTTGCCGTCGACATCGCCGCCGCAGGGGCCTCCCTGTCGTGGTGAGTGCTGACCAAAATAACTTGCCTTGGCAAGTTCTTTGAAAACCCTAGATGGGTTCTTGATAACGAGGAAGATGACTCGTTTTAACTCAATGAAAACGCGGGGTTGGGATCCCATGTGGGTCTCGACCCTCGCGTTCAAGTTTTTCAACGCGAGGTTGACCTTCGCGTTTGAGGCTTCTGACACGAGGTTCGACCTTCGCGTTGGAGATTTCGATATGAGCCTTTAACCCTTTATGTTTCAGGCTATGCCTTTATGTTGATAGCTCGCCGCTAACTTCTGCTTTTGATTGTGCAGTACTTCTCCCAAACGTGCCACTTTCACAAGAGCATCATTTTGGGTACATCGGGGGACCTGACGCGAATGAAATATTTAGTCTTCAGAACCAAATTCCATTGTGTACTTATCCTGATTCGGAAAGAGCGGAAATGATTAAATTCCCTCAATGCTCTACTCTCAGGATTTTGATAACTGACTTGGACTTGGAGACCCCTGTTGGCCGTGCCCAGTTTCCTAAACCAGCGTTCATATTTGGAGATCGCATACCAGCTAATGATCATCTCACATGTATGGAAGACTCAAAGCTGCTGCGGAGAGTTGATAATCGCTTTTTATTTCTCCCTAGCATGAAGAGGATGTACCCTCTCTCCTACTTTCTGAATGTGAGCTGCCGTCGGGGCTTGACCTTTGACATAGTAAAAGAGAAGGAGGATGTGTCGCTTGGATTTGGTCGGCGAGCTCGTACACAAATCGGAGGACAACTCAAGGGGTTAAGACCTGGTTTGTTTGAGAAGAAGGAGCTGGTTCAGGAGATGCCACGTCCAGCGAACATCTTTATTCGCCAATTCCTTGCAACTCAGGGTGAATTCTCTACCCAGACGTTTAGGTCCCCTGGATGGGTCTGTTCTGGCGAAGGAGGTTGGTGGACCCGCATGGTCGACTTTGTTCTTGAGGAGCTTAAGGACTCTCTCGCTCAATCGGGTCTTACAGTTCCTGTGTTAGCTACACGATGGGGAGTCATGCAGAGTCTTCACAATTTCTTCCCTATGTTGGAGAAATATAACCCTGACAGCTGCACATTCTTCACACCTGCAGGAGAGTTAGGTTTTGCTCTCCATGAGATGCAGGCAGTGTCGGGGCTGCCGCTTGGAAAAACGTCCTACGAGGAGTTTATCCCCACCACGGAGGAGCTTTCCTTACTGAAGGTGGTGTACCCGGAAATTTACGCTACTTTCTGGGAATTGATGTGCTACTTCCACATATGCGCCCAAGTCTTTGGGATGCGTGGAGGGGGCATTATGCATACTACCTGGGCAGACTACCTCTTCCAAAACTTAAATCGGAAAGATGTGGCCGTATCCCGTGTCGCAGTTGTCTCACTTAAGGATGCCAAGGCTCGGATTAAGGCTCTTGGTGTTACTTATAAGACCGAGCATGCCGAGGATGATTTTGAAGCTGGCGTCGAATTTGAAAGTTTCCACTACCAAGCCACAGTTCCTATTTCTAACACGGCTCTACTTGCAGGCTTCTTCATGATTTGGTTGAAGCGGTGTGTGGTACCGTCAAGACCAATAGAATCAATATTAGCTGAGGTTGTGTATCCAGCTGTTTTGCTAGCGCATGGGAGGCCTGTGAGTCTCCTTACTGCTATGGTTGGCTGTATCCAGAATGGCCTGAGGGTATTGACTTCAGAGCTTCTCAGTGCTGCGGGAGTCAAAGCTACTAAGAAGAAAGCTGGGAAGGCTCCTCAACCACGTGTACCAATGCCATATACATATTTAGTGGCCTGGTTCGTGTTGCATTGCCCTTCTCTGATGACAGGGGCGCCTGAGGGGGTTGATGCTTATACTCCCTTCGTACAGAGACTGGAGTCGGCCACGTGGACTAGTTTCTATATAGTCAGGGTTCGACAGCTTCTATCCCGGGAAGATAATTACCGGGTTTTCTGCTGCGTTCCTAACTTTGATGGAGCTGATGTGAAGGATGTCCGTTTCATGGACTTGCTTTTTGATGGCTCATCTTCTTTGGAAGAGGGTACATTCAGCTGGCTTCTCATGATCAGGTTGGGCTACCTGGTCTATCGCTCGCGGGAGAAGTGTGTAATTGAGCCTTACATGCCTTCTCGGTTCGCCAGACAGTTTGGATACGACCAACTCTATGTTGGAAATCCTAACCCGGCGTTAGCTCAGATTGGGAATTTGCACGAAGGAGCTCGCGCATGGTACTTCTTCTCCGCCGGGGGAACCCATGCGCAATTCACTTTACCCCATTCACCACCCGGCTGCTCTACTGTTATGGATTTCCGCCAGTGGTTTGTTGAAGCTTCTCGGATTCCGGAATATGACGTTTATACTTCATGTATAAATGAGATTCGGAAAAGACAACTGAGGAGATTCCTGCAGAAGAGCCTGCTCCTAAACCTCGTTCTTTAAGATCGGGTAAGAAGGCTCTTTCTGCTGCTGAGCAAGGTGAGTATGACAGGAGAATTCGTAAGCGGATACCTGTCATGGCCAAGAATTCCAAGAGGGCCAAATTAATGGGGGATGCGATGAAGTCTGCGCTCGTTGAGCGTTTTACTGACGGAGAGGGCGAAATGCCCCAATCGATCCCCTCGGTTCCTGAGGACGATAGGGCTGGAGAGGGCCCTTCTTCTGAAGTTGCTCCAACACCTGTTCCGGATGATCATACGGATCCAATCTATCCAACTCTTCCTCCTCCACGCTCAAGGGCTCTGAAGAAATCAATTGATGAACTGGAACGTTGGATGCAAACAATTATTAATATGATCAGTGTTGAGGGGGCTTCTCTTGAAGATTGTGAATCCATCTTGAATCAATGTTTGGACGACATCAAAGCTAAAGGGGATGCATCCTGGACTGAACACTGCCAAGGGGGAATCACTCTTTTGATGATAGAATTAGCAGCTTTCAGGGAGCTACAGCGCACCAATTTAGATTCTGAAGTAGAGCCGGCTCTTTCCTTGGCGATAATCTCGAGGGCGCACCACCCAGGGGCTCTTCGCAAGGACCTGTCTGATAAAAAGGCCCGCATATCAGCTTTAAGGAAGCGACACTCTAAAGCATATGCTAAAATCAAACGTGTTGCTTCTGATATCCGCGGTATCGAAGAGACTATCGCTCGATTAGAAGCCGAGTTGGACCAGAAGAAAGCTCAATTGGCCCACTATGAGGATGTCAGAAAAGAGCTTGAGCATAAAAGTGGCCAAATTTATACGAAATTTTGCCGTACACTCCACGCAGCTGAGCAGACTCGTAAGGACATTGTTGCTACCCTTCCTATTGAAGTAGAACTCAGAAAGGAGATCGAGGGACAAGTCCGAGAGACTCACCGGGAGAAACTCTTTGCCTTCAAGTCTAGGCTAAAAACCCTCAAGTTAATGAAGCTTGATGTTTAGCTCTTGACCTGTTCTGGATTAAGGAATTTTGTATTGTTTTCATTTTGTTTGTCATCATTTTGTGTTTAGATTAACAACATTGAATGAAAACGATATCACTG